AAGCATCATAGACTGTACTTACACAAACCTTGATGGTACAGCCTACCACACATCTGGGTTACATGGTACAGTCTGTGGCTCCCAGGCTACAAACCTATAATATACCATGTTCCTGTACTGATACTGCAGGCAACTGTAACACAGTGGTATCTGTGTATCTAAACATATCTATACATGGAAAAGGTACAGTAGGAATACAGTATAAAAGGTAAGCAGCAGCACAGCTGTACAGGCACTCACTGTGCATGGAGCTTGCAGGACTGGGAGGTGCTCTGGGTGAGTCTGAGTGACGAGTGACCGTGAAGGCTAGGACGTTACTGTGCACATTGTGGACTCAAACACTGTACACTCAGGCTGCACTAAATGTATAAAAAAGTAAAGTAGTTGCGCTACGACGTCACTAGGCAGTATGAATCTCTCAGCTCCATTATAATCTTACGGGGCCACCATCTTATAGGTGGTCTGTCACAGACATAAACAGTGTTATGTGGCACATGACTGTATTTATTTAAAAAGAAAAGACAAGGTCCTGTTGCTAAAATAAAGTTTGAAACCATAGTTTTAATCTCAGCCCTCATCGGTATTCTCAAAAGAGAAAAAACGCTCGGTGTTTCCTGTTGGCAGCACAGTGACATCTCAATGACATTTCAGGCCCTCCATAAACCTGCCCCAGCCTCTTCCCCGCGATACCCCAGCCCCCACCAGGCTTCTGCTCCCTGCACACTCCTGCACCTGCCTCCCTTCTTTCCTTCTCACCGTTGACTCGGCTGGGCCCCTCCGTGCGCCTCCCCGTCAGCGAGGTCGTCCCCCAAGGCCCCAGTCTTCGGTTCTGCTTCAGCTTACCTAAGGGCACAGCGGGCTTCCCATTCCACCTCTCATGTGGTTGTCTCCTCCACGGCACCAAAAGTACCCGGTGCGAGCACCCGACAGCCTCTGCTCTGGTCAGCTCTGATGAAACAACTGCATTGAAATGGATTTTACGGTACCCCTGTCACCAACTGCCTTCCCCACCCCCCAAAAAAACCTATTGCAAAACTGCATTAAAGTTAAAATGGAAAGTTTCTTCTTTTTAAAGGATCTTAGGAATCCTGTCATAAACTTAACACAAGTCCAGCTCGTATGATCTTTCAGGTTCTACCGCAAGTCAACTACACAGCCTGCATCTGGCAGGGCTCACGGGGAAGGCTGCCCTCCCCACACCCGACGATTGTTGAGGGGACTGCACTCAAGGACTCAGTTCAGAGGCCTCTCTATCTGTGCCCTTTGGCCAAGTCCCTCCTCAGGCACCTCTGCTGAGACCTTAGGTGGGGCGTGGGGGGGGCTGAATTCACTTTTCCCCACATCTGTGCTGATCCAAAATGGAATCCAAAATTGATCCAATAAAGAAACTGTAGTATGTATACACAATGGAATATTATTCAGCCTTGTAAAGGGAGATCCTGCCATTTGCTACAACATGGATAAACCTAGAAGACATTATGCTAAGTGAGATGAGCCAGGCACAAAAACACAAGTACTGTATGATCTCACTTCGCTTTGGAATCTAAAAAAGTCAATCTCATAGAAGCAGAGAGTAGAACAGTGGTTACCAGGGGCTGGGGGTGGGGGTGGGGGCTGGGAAAGATGGGGAGGCGTTGTTTCAAGGGTACTAAGCTGCAGTCATGTAGAATGAACCAGTCTAGAGATCTAATGTGCAACATGAGGATTACTGTTAATGGTATCATAGTATATACTGGAAATGTGCCAAGAGAGATTTTAGGCACTCTTTCCACCAACAAACAAACAAAGTAACTGTGTGAGACAATGGATGTTAATTTGCTTGACTGTAGTAATCACTTTACTATATATTACTCATGTGTGTGTGTGTGTGTGTGTGTGTGTATATATATATATATATATCAAAACATCCTGTTGGATACCTTAAATATATATATGATAAAAAATTTAAAAAAAAAAAACCCAAAACAAAATTGACCTTAAATGTGGGACAGTGTGGGGCCCTTTCTCTGGTTAGCATCTTGCTCATCATATAGCAGTAAGTGATTAAAGGCTCGGCTGTGACTTTCATCCGGCTGTTGTGCTCATCAGCCACTCGCACATCTGGCAGCTCAGCTCTCTCCAGCTGGGCTGGGCTCCTGACACAGACGCTAACTCACTTCCTTCTCTCTTTTTTTTTTGTCTTTTGTCTTTTTTCCGTGTCCGGCAATGGATCGCAACCCTCAGTGTTGCCCCCGTACCGGACC